CTTAATGATTTTTTAATTATTAAAATAGATAAAAAAAATAGATAAGGATATTGCAATAATTTTAATTTTGGGAGAGATAAAACCACATAAAAACATGGCCAAGAGGATATGAACCAAAAAAAAAAAATATTAAAGTTTGGAAAAAACTCAAAAGAAAATACATACTATATGGACAATTTTGTCTTTCAATTAAATGTTGTATAGTAACCCTTTTATATAAAATATCACGTGATCTTTATTAATTGGGTAAATTAAAAATACGGAAAGTGTACTTGGATTTGGATCGGACGATAATTAATGGCCGAAACCGTCATTTAGTAGGAGACATTTATTCATGGGATTTGTTGATGACGTGCAATCTAAAAACTTCCATATATAAAATCACTCCATCTATTATTCCTATTTAACACTCCTCACTCACCACATCCCTTCTGTGCCCATCAACACCCACCGTCTTGTTCTGGAACTTCACCATTGACGACCATCTTCTTTTTCTTCTTCTTCTCCTTCTGCAACTTCTTTTGTTTCCATGGATGTCGATCTTGATACGCTTCCCCCAATCTTCTTGTACCTCGATGACACCCCTATACGTGCCTATATTTTTTACCATATTGATTTTGTAGAACTTGAAGACCATTCTGTACCCGATCATGATACTGTCCTTCGAGGCTTGCAAAATTATCATCCTATTCACTACCCGTATGAATGGTTACTATATGAAAACGGGGCTGTTATTGTTAACTATGACGACATCAATGAGTATTATATTCGTCAACCACAATCATCTTCCTCCACCGCTACCTTCCAAACCATGTCTGAAAGACATATCTACGAGTATGATGAAGTTTCTTTTATACAAGTAGCCATCAACGAGAGCTTTGAACAAGCAGCAAATTACGTGCCACGCAGTGGATTGACCAAGAAACTCATCTCCGAGAACCTACAAGTAACCAAGTATTGTGAAGAAGAAGAAGAGGAAGAAGGTGAGCTTTGTGTGGTATGCCAAGTTGAATTCGAAAGCAATGAGAGAGTAGCGGTGCTTCCATGCAAACATCGATATCACCCAAGATGCATCACACAATGGTTGGTTCGGCAAAATGTGTGCCCTATTTGTAAGGGTCAAGGTTTATCAGTATAGAGATTTTTTTTCTTGACATAGGGATTGTTTGGAATATATTACAAATTTAGGGTTATGACTAACATTAAATTGATTATTTTTGCAAAGATTTTGAATATATAGGCCTGAGCCTAATTGCTGTTTTGAATATTTTTTCACATACTTTACCCTTCGAATTTTGACGACTCCATGACAATTTTCTTATTTTCTAAACACTATTAATTATTTT